CACCACACACAAGACAAGCATGCCAACCTAATTGAAGCAGCAAGGCACCCTTAATAAGAGACAGGAGGCAGCATATGCCAGGAGGGTCACCACCTTGAACATTATCTGCCCTCAAAACCTGAGAAGTCTGTAGATATGTAGCTGGCATTTTCTCTCACAAGTGCTATACCCAAAGCTAAAGACTTAGAAAAGAAAGTTCCTGTCACAAAAGTCCTTGGTACTATTAAAAGATTCAACATCAGAGACTGATATGTTTTTTTTCCCAGCATAAATATTAAAGAAGCATTTCCATCTGAATACTCTGAAACCTAAAGATCAAAGGACTCTTTCATCTGAAATGCAGCTGAAACCTTCCATATGTTGTTTCACCTTTTGAGCTCCTCAAAAGCAGAAACTGTCTTACTTTTCTATATAGTTCTGGTCCTTGGCACAGTGCTTTACATACAGTAAGCACTTATTAATTAATTTTTTTTTACTCATTTGTCATTAATATGCTACTTTAATGCTACTCAATAAATTAAAGGCAGGAAACATTCTTTTCTTTTCTTGAGTTAAATTCATCTTAATTTTTAACAAAACCCATAATTACCATATTAATTACTAATTTACAGAATAGTATACTAGAGATAGGTTTGGAAATGACTCTTTGGTTAACTAGTAATATCCATATTCTGTAAGTTCTATTATTTTAATATCTATATTCTATAAGTATAGAAAGAAGAATTTCACTTTCATGTTTTGATTGGTGCTAACAAGACTAACATTATCAAGATTACATGTATACTGTGAAAAGAGGCTTGAAAGCAATGCAATGGAGATCTTTAGAATAGTGTTTGAGTCAGGATAAAAAAAATACTTTTATCCCCCTTTGGAACCACTATTTCATAGATGTAGGGAGTGCCCTGAAGAAGAAATGTCATCTACCAATGAAAATTTGCAACTATGATGCAAATAATAATATTAATTTTTTTTCATGGGTTACTAAGAGATGGGAGGAGCCTTGGTACAATAGCTAAAGATCCCAACTCCAAGTCAGAATGACATAGGTTCAAGTCATGTCTTTGATCTATATTAGTGATGTGACCATGGGTAAGTCATTAATCTCTCTAAAACCAAGACACATCTCTGTCTACATTAATTCCCTTATAGTTGGTTGATGCAAGTGTTTGAAGAATCTATACTTTGTCATATCAAGGAACATGAGCTTATTTCCCCCAGTGATTGCTGAGTTTCTGATACTGTGAAGAATAAAATGCTACCCAAGTAAGAGCAAGCAAGTGATCATGTGCTGGGAGTGGGAGTAACCCTGGGCCTGGAATGGAAGCCCTTGGTGGCAGAGCACCAAATACCTAGGACAATGGCCATGCATATGCAATGTGATAGTGAAAAGCTGTCCTTCCTGTAACAAAATGTCTAGGTGGCACAGTGGATAGAATGCTGGGCCTGGGGCCAGGATGACTCTTCTATCTGATTTCAAATCTGGCCTCAGACATTTACTAGCTGTATGACCCTGAAAAAGTCACTTAACTCTACTTGCCTTAGTTTCCTCATCTGTAAAAATAAGCAGGGGAAGGAATGGTATACCCTTCCAAAATGTTTGCCAAGAAAACCCCAAATGGTTAATGAAGAGTCAGACATGACTGAAACAACTAAACCACATGCACGAGATTTCCATTTTTCTGGAGTATATTTTGTATGTGTAGACACAATTGGATTAAGAAATTGAAAAAACTGTGCCCTTCTCTCCCTCGGTCTTTAATGATGAAAATAAAATGTCCCAGGACCATATATAAAGTAAAGGTATCCCCCTCCAAAAGAGAATACATTATAGTATCATAGATGGGGGAGTTGAAAGAAATCTTTTAGGTCATTTCATCCAGAGTGTACATGAAATGGCATTGTGTGGTAGAAAGAACATTGGATATGAAGTCAAAAGACCTGAGCTCATCCCCAGTGTGACCGTGGAACCAACACATACTTCTCTAAAACTCAGTTTCTTCATCTGTAAAGTGAAGAATTTTGGCCTAGATGAGCTGTAAGATATTTTCCAACTTAAAGTTGATGATGCTGTATGGATTCCCATAAAAGAATATTCAACATGTGGTCATCCAGATTTTATTTGATGACTTCCAGTATAAGGAAACCCATTACTTTTCAATGTAATCCATTCCACATTTGTATCTTTTAATTATTAGGAATTTTCCCCCCTTATATCAAGTCCAAATATGATTGACTGCAGTTTACACCTATTGCTTCTCTTTCACCCTCTAGGGTCAAACAGAATGTCAAATCCTTCTTCCATAGAATACTTTTTCTAATACTTGAAGATACATATCATGTCTCCCACTTAAGTCTTTCCTTCTTCACACTAAACATTCCTAGTTTCTTTAGCTGATTCTTATCTGGAATGATCAACAAGCTGATTATCCTTTAGTTTATTAAACTCTTCCTAAAATCTGGTATCCAAATGTACATACTCCAGATGTGGTCTGACTAAGGCATAGTATATTGCTTTCTTGGTATGATCAGGAAAAAAAGCAGCATAAGATCAGAGTAACATTTTTGGTACCAAATTAAATATTAAACTTGTCAGATAAACTTATCTAGCCATGGTACCCCAATTACATACCTATGTCTTTGATTTCTGAACCCTCCTGTAAGACATTATCCTTATTAAAATTTAGTTTATTGGATTCAGTCAAAGTTATTAACCCCTAGTTTTTTGTCATTTACAAATTAAATAGGTATATTATTCATGCCTTTATCCAAATCACTGAAAAAAAAACCCAGCATAGGTCCAACTAAAGTCCTATGAGGTATTCCACTCACAATCTCCACTAAGGATGAAAGCAAATCATTTTTCTTCATTGGGCCCAAAGTTTCAACCAGTTGTAGTCATCTAACTGTATCACTCCTTAGTGCATATCTCTTCTGTATGTTTACAGTAAATGCTTTGTTAACATCTAGGTAAACTATATCTTAACTCTCCCTCAATTTTACCATTCTGATAACCTTGCCTAAAAATAGGAAATGAAGTTAATCTGATATGACCTAACCTTGCAGCCATGTTGACTGCTTCCTTATCTAGATGTGAAACTTTAACAGGACTATAGTCTACCTGCCCTACAATTTTCAGATTCCGCTCTCTTCATTTCTTAAAAGGGTGAGGGAAGAGAGAATGTTTTACTTTCACTAGTCCTTTAATACTTCCGTAAGTTTCAAAATATCATTGGCAGTGGTTCAGTAATGGTACATACCTGATTTCTCAGGACTGTGGCATGTGGCATATCAGGACCTGGTGACCTAACTCATCTAGGGTACCTAGGTTCTCCCTATTTAGTGGGCTTTGAATCCCCTATTCATCTAGTTGTGTTTGGTCTTTTCCAGTTCAAAGATCGTTTTTATTCAAAGAGAAATTGAAAGCAAAAGAGTTAAATAGTGCATTCCATCATCCATGATTACTTTCCTCATCTTTTCCATGATCCTCATCATTCTTCACAGTATAACTAAGATCTTATAGGGAATATAAAGCCATTGTAAAATCCTACAGAAATGTAAGATATTTTATTAACATTTTACTGAGATTATTGAGCAATAGAATGACATGATGGCCATAGTGTTTTAGGAAGATGAATCTAGTGAATGGATATATTATTAATTGAAAAGAGGAGGACCTAGCAGTTAGAAGGATATGACTGTAGTGCAGAATGAGGTGAACTTAGTGGTAGAAGCATCAGTAAAAGAAAAGAAAAAATCTAAGAGTTATTTTGAAGTAAGTAATGACAAGACTTGGTGACAAATCAGAAAACTCAAAGATGACTCTATTCTTTCTGATAATAGTGGATACCATCCACTATGAAAACCTGGGAAAGTTACTTTATATCTCTATAGAACTCAATTTTCTCATCTGTCAAATGCTCATATATGCATTATCTAAATCAAAGGACTGTTGCAAGTAATTTTTGTAAGCTATAAAGTGCTATATAAACACAAAGTCAGCTATTCCTCTCATGAAATGACTTATGAATCCATCACCAATCTTGTCACTCATTCATAAATATTCCTCTTAAAGTACACTACACAGAACTGAACTTGTAAATGTGGACTAGCCTTATTTCAAAAGGCCTGAAATAGGAGTGTCTGGCTATAGGTAAACAACTAAGTATAAGAGTCTGAGAATGATTTCAAGAGATGGTTTTCAGTTGAAAAGTTATGAGAAAACAGATTCAAATTTGAGACATTTTAATGAAAAAAAAAAAAGCTAGATCTAGGTCCTGCCTTTTACCCTTCTATGAAGACTCACAGAACTGATCAATTTTAAGAAAATCAGAGTTTTCTTTGGAACCTTTTTTTTTTTCCTGTTCTGCAAGTGGATAAAACTGAACTGTCTGAGAGTTCCTCCTGCATATATACGGTTACATATATACCAGCCATATTTTTCCAATACTTCAATGATTTCTGTACAGCAATATAGTTTGTTATAGAGGGAAATAAAGCTTTCTTTCAATTAATTCAACAGATGGTTAGAAAACAATATTGTAAGATTTAGCCTCATTTGGGGTTAGCATAAAAATAATTTCCTTATCTTCAAACATTTCTTTGTACTGGCTAAAGATGGTTTCCCATATTGAAATTTCTAAGTGGCATGGCAAGGCCTAAACAAATAAGTGATCTGATGAATTGATGATAAAATAAAAAAAGACTTAAAATGAAGGAGGTTCTTATTATCATATACAGACTTATTAATGAATTTAAAGATATTACATACAAACAAGGCTGAAATCCAGAAAATCTCAAATAATATTCCAAGTCATAACAAATCATAGTATGGTACTCCTGATATCGTCTTTTTTTGTCAACACCACATTATTCACAACAGAAACATCTAGTATTTCACTGAATTCATTTTTGGATCACCTAATGTGAATAGTGAATCATGTTGATCTCCTTATCTTTCCCAAAGCAAAGGCAAAACATTCACAATTAAGAAAACCACTAACCATGGAGCCAGTAGTGTTCCGAAATGTCAGTTCTGATGTAATGATGATCATGAGTAGGACCAAGGGAACGTGTAAATGCTGTGTCTTTGCCAAGGAAATCTGAAGCTGTTCCAGCATAGAGGTATTCATCTGGGAGACAGAAACATTAATGAGATCATTAGAAGAAATGCCAAAGATTTTAAGTTGAAATGGTTCCATAGTTTCAAAGATTTATGCCATATAATATTTGAATATAACTCTTAATAAGTCTTAGTTTTCAATATTGAACAAGAAAAAGTAACTCAAATTCTGTAGGCTATCTAGTATGAGAGAAAAAATCCAAATGTTTCTGAATTAAAAACTATAAATGCTTTATTGGCAAAATTTATCTCTCAGACATTGTGTCTCCTCTCCATGGCAACAATGGAACATTTTGAAAAGTTATGCCTTAAGGAGGAATGGGTAATATAATTAACATTTGTTTAACTGATAGAATATCAATGACCACATCCCATCTTTACCTAACCTCTGCTGAAAGGAATCTTTCAGCACTGGAATCATTCTTTCATAATTATAACATGCTACATTCCTTGGTCCCAATTATTTCTCCAACAGCTTTGATATACAGAAATTCTGAAAAGGACAAGGATGCTGCCATTACTGCATTCCAAACTTCATCTTGTGAAGTAGAAAACTGACAGGAAGACAGTCCCAAGACCTTTCATCAATATTGTTACCCAAAGATATTGCTTTAGGGCAATTTCTTTTACAAAAAAAAATATGTATAGGTAAGCTAAATTCTGCTGAAAGCTTATCACCGTGTTTCTTTAGCTAAAAAAAAAAAAGTGGTCAGAACTGAATTAACTCTTTCTTGGTGCTGAATTCAGTAGGCCCAGAGTGTGTGTTGAATGGGAAAGAATGAAGACCACAGAACATGAAATGTATGGACCTGCATTTGAGAGCAGCCTCAGAAATAGTTTCACATTATTACTAAACTAAACTTTCTTTAATCCTTCAGATTAAAACAAAATCAATGGCTTTATCACTACACAAAGAACGTTGCTGACATTCTCAACTCTCGTTCAATAAATCTTGACCAAAATAAACTTTGCTTGAATTTTGGTTGAAAGCATTTGGCCTACAGGGCAATGGCCTAAACATTGTTGCTAAGTTTATCTGGGAGAACATGAATTAGGTTCTAAATAACTATAAAAACATTGTATAAATAAATTGAATTTAGGTATGTTTCACTGCAAATATACAACTATACAGTTTTGTAAGTATTTTGCTAAATTAAATGAAATAATTTTCATAATAATCTTTCACATACCAGACTTTTAATAAATATTTGTTGAAAAGAATTGAACTAAATAACAGACCAAATGCAATTTGCATTTCCCCAAAAAAACTGCTCTGTAGAAAATACTTTGTAAACTGAAAAAATGGTATGTTCTTTACAAAGAAGAAGGAGGAGGAGGAAAAGGAGGAGGAGGAAGAGGTGAAGGAGAAGAAGTTGTAGTTAGGTAGAGACAAAATCTAATTGGATCTGTTCAAACCTCTCTTAAAATGTCCTTCCTGGTCATTAAAAGGGCCTATGGATTCCAAACTGGAGGAGGGGAAATGACCACAGCCTTTAGTGTAATGTTTTTAATAAAAGACATACTGGCCCATCTATCAGATGAAAAAGAAAAATCATTTAGCTTATATTTATCTTATTTATTTTCTGAATAGAATGGCTGAATGAGTCATATTGTTTTTGTAACCAACACACATACACACGCATATGCTATCACTTCAAAGTTTCACCATCCCTGTCTCCCTACTGAATATGAAAGTACCATGATGTTTCACTACTATCTTGTGTTCATTCATGCACAAGATATGTCATTCGTGAATGTTTTGACATGGCAGCTAGAGCTCTGGACTTAGGGTTAGGAAGACCGGGACTCAAATTCTGATTCTGATGCTTATCAGCTGGCCAATTTAACCTAAGCTTCAGTTTCCTCATTTGTAAAATTACGGGATTGGATGAGATGACCATGAAGGTCTTTTCTGGTGCTAGATCTACAATACTATGAAAATTTAAGAAATGGGTCCAAGTTAATTTTTGCAACTTTTATATTTCATGATTAAATATGTGTACTCCTTTTTAATACAAGAAAAGTAACAGATAGCTGTACATATATATCTCATCAGCCATAAGCATTCTAACACAGTGATCAAGAACTCTGAAATTCTTCTGTCTGACCATAACCTCCTACCTTTCTATCTGTCTTTCCCTATTCCTCACTCTTACTGAACCTGTTCTTCATCCTAACTGTGATCTCCAGGTCTACCATCCCTTAGTGCTCTCCCAAACAATTATTCTAACTTTCTTCTCTTCCCATTCTTGAACCTATTGAAAGTCAGTCCAACTCTACATTGTCTTCTATAATGGAATTCCAAGACTCATGTCTTGCTGAACCCGAATCCCACATTATGTACACTATCCACTTTTTCCATGCTTGCTGTTGAATGATGCTAGAAGCGAAACAACTATTTTGATTGGATCCACCACCAATTTATGTTATCTAATCTCAACTTGGCCCTCGCTGAAGTAAGTCAATCTTTTTAGTCTCTTTATCTTTACCAAAATGAAAAGAGCATGGCAGAGTGAATACAGAGCTGGCCTGGGAGTTAGGAAAACCTGGGTTCAAGTCCTAGCACTGACAAATATTGGCTTTGAAAGCTTTAATAAGTTAATTAATCTCTCAGTGCCCCCACACAACTCTTTAAGACTATAAATTAAAAGTAAGGTGCTTATCTTCATTGGTGGATTATTTTTTTTTACAAAGACTATACTAATAACATCATATTTCAATTAAAAAGAAATGCCAAAAAACTGTTCCCTAAATGATTCTCTATCACAAGAAAGTTACAACTAGAGATTTTAGGAGTGGTAGGGAACTGTTATTGGGAATTCTATTGAAAATTAATATAAAGAAGCTCTGAGATGTTTATGTAAATCAACAGTAGAATATGATTTGATTTGTAAATATCTATTGTACATAGTCTTTAGGAATCATCATGGTCTAAAAGGAAATAGACATGTACTTGATCTTACCTGTCATTACGGAAGCAAAAGGCTGCTGAGGATCAAAAGGACATTTCAGTCTGCCAGATTCCAAATTATGTGTGTCCAGTTTGAACATGATTTCCTGTATGAGACATGTTAATATAAATATGATTTCAAAGAATAAACAAGCTCCTAGGAAATAAGAACTAAATTCTAACTCTGGCCCAAGACTGAATAAATGAATGAAAAAACATTTATTAAGTGCAAAGTACTATGCTAAATTCTAAGAATACAAACAGAAAAGCCAAGAAAACAGATACAAATATAAACTGAAAAACCCTGCTCTCAAGGAGCTCACACTCCAGAGGAAATAACAATTTTTTAAAAGTTCAGGCAGAGGCAGAGAAAATAGAAAGGCCCAAAAGTACTATTGGTACAGTTTCAGGCTGAAAGGTAAGACTCAGAAGTCCTTAGGTACTCTAAGTAGGTCAGATGACAGTGACTGGGGACTGCAAGACATTTGGGTCAGGGAAGGTGAAAAGGCCTGGTGGTCATTCATCTCATCAGAAGAAATAGAGTTGGGGAGTCCCAATACATCCATATAGCCTGGGAAAAAGGGGGAGGTAACCCTAAGTGATGAGGAGTCTTCCTGCTGCTAGGCTTTCCCAGGTGGGTTAGTTAGTTTAGGATGAATTAAATCCTATTTCACTCCACACTGAACTTATTTCTAAGTCTCTGTGCCATACACATCCCAAGAGGGTCACAGGGCACAGAATGCCAGAGTCAGCAGCCAGCTTGGAGATCCTCTGGTCCCATTCACTCAAAAAATATTTAAGTACCTACTATGTGATAAGCCCACTCCTTGGTTTTGCCTTTAAAACCTTTCACAGTCTGGATCCAGACCTTTTTTTTTTCTTTTCCGATTTATTTAACATTAATCTTCACATAGCTACATTCCAACCCAACTAGCCTATTTGGAGTTCTCTGTCCCCAAGCCTTTATACAGCCTGTCTTCTGTGTCTAGAATATATTCTTTTCCCACTTTGGAATCTCTACCTTCCTTCAAAGCTTAGCTACCAGAAGGTTTATGATTCCATATGCCTTGGTTTACCAAATTTGAAATGTCAATAAGATAGTAAAAGTATTTTCTAATTACAGGTAGAAATATTACCCTTTTTAGGGGCAGAGGATATCAGTCAGTCAATAAGCATTTATCAAGCCCTTTTTATGTGTCAGATATTGTGCTGAGTGATAGGGAGACAAAGAAAAGCAAAAATAGTTCCTACCATCCAGGAGCTCAAATGCAAACAATTTATACCAGCAAGATATATAGAGGACCAATTTGAGGTTATTTCACAGAGAAGGCATTAGTATTAATGGAGAGTGGGACAGGAATATTTTAGAAGGTAGAACTTTGTATGAGAACTTAAGGAAGACAGGAGGTAGATTTTATATTTGATCTAGGAAGTAATAGGGAGCAGCTGGAGTTTATTAAATGAGAGGGAGAGGGAGAGAAAAAGTCAGATACTTTATTAATATCACTTTGATAGCTAAGTGGAGGATGGTAAGGAGTGGGAAGAAACTGGAGGCAGGGAGACCAATCAGAAGGTTAGTACAGTAATGTAGGCACGAGGTGATAAAAGCCTGTACGAGGGTGAAGGCAGTGTCAGGGTTGAGAAGGGATCATGTGGGAGAAAGGTTTTAAAAGTAGAATTGAAGCTACAAGACTTGACAACTGATTGGAGAAGGGGTGGGGGGGTGAGAGAGAATGAGGAATTGAGGATCACATCTAGGTTGAAAATCTGAGTGACTGGGAAGATGATGGTGTTCTCAATGATAATAGGAAAGTTAGGAAGAATGATGGGTTTTGGAGAAAAGATGAATTCAGCTTTGAACATGTTGAGTTTAATATGCCTATGGGAAATCTATTTAATATCTCCAATAGGCTGTTGGAGATGGAAGACTGGATGTGGGTAGAGAGGTCAGCACTGGATAAGTAGAGATGAAAATCATCTGCATAGAGATAATAATTAAATTCATGGGACTTGAGATCACCAAGCAAAAGAATTTAGAGAAAGAGAAAAGAGCCCAGAATAGAACCTTGGGGGATAGCCACAGTTAGCATACTGGATGAAGATCCAGTTAAAGAGATTTAGAAGGAATGACCCATCAGGTAGGAAGAGAACTAGGAGAGAGCAGTGTCACATGAACTTCGAGGGAAGAGAATATCAAGAAGAGGATATCTGACGGTGTCAAAGGTTGCAGAGAGCTCAGTAAAGATGAAGATTGAGAAAAGGACATTAAATTATTTGACAATTAAGAGATCAATGGTAATTTTGAAGTGAGATTTGATTTCTGATTTCACTGATATAAGAAATTGCCAGTGTGGAAATGCCCTCCATGGGAGTAGATCAACTCTTTGTAATTTTTATCTCAGACATTTGCTTAAGGGTACTGAGAATTAAATCAGTCAGTCAGTGGAATAGTCAGCATGCAATGGGCCAGACACTATTCTCAGAACTGGGAATAGAAAGGAAAAAAAAGGCAAAAATAGTATCTACCCTTAAGGAAGATACTTTCCAATGGGAGAGATGACATACTGACAATTAGGTACATATACATATACATATATATATATATATATATGCATATATATGTATATACATATGTATGTGTTTTGTGTGTGTGTGTGTGTATACATACACACAAAATAGATGGAAAGTAATCTGAAAGAGAATAGTGCTAGGAGACAGGAGGACTGGGAAAGAAAGTCCTCCTTAAGTCATGCTGCTTCTCAGAGTTACAATGTTCCCCTAAATTCTAAATACCAAGGAATATCATCAAACATTTATGAGGTGTCTATTACACGTAGAGTACTCCTTTGCTTCCATAAAGAAAGTGTTTTTCTACAATTATTACAAGCATTCTTGGTTGTGATCTCATTTGCTTCTGGGCATCTAATCCATCTAAGTTGTTCAAACAACCCCTTTGAAACTTTCATGTCATCCCTGGCACTGTAGTGAACAAATCCAAAGCAAGCAGCTTCTTTGCAGTGTTGCTGATGCATTAGGCCAAAACACCCTGTTGGAGTATTTTCACTATTATGAAAACAGTATGTGCTTTAAAGTTACTCAGTTGTTTTGGCTCAAACATCTATTTTTACAACAGTGGCCTCAGATAACACAACATTGGCAGCTTTTGAATGCTTGGGAAGAAGCATCGTCTTCTTAGATTCCACTTTCCAAGAAAAACAGGAATGCAAAATCAGCACAGCCCCATGGTCCTTTGGCAGTTCCATAACAAAGACAGCATGAGCTATCCAGAAAGACATGAGACTCACAACATGTGGAAAAGAATACATATTATCTGTCCAGACAGATGTTCTACAAGGAATAACTACAAACCTGTGTCATGGAGCACTATGAACAAGTTTTATAACATGATAAAACATTTATTAGGTGCCAGCTATGTGTAGGGCACTATGCTTGGACCTGGATTAGGAAATAATGGAAAATAATCTAGTGTCTACATTTTAGTAAGGCAGGGAATGATGTGAAAGACTTTTAGGGAGAAGTGGGATAAATGGCTCCTAAAAAAGAATTTTTAAAATGTCTGTTTCATGTCTTTTATTATTTACATTTTCATTTCATTTATGTTTACTAAAGTCACTTTGCAAAAATGAATTTTTTACTATAGTTATTACTCACTTAAGAAAAAATAATTTCTATAATTTTATACTTATCAAATTGATAGAGAATTAATGATTTTTTGAGAAATGTTGAAAATGTGGAAATATCAGTCCCAAGTATATTATTAAGTGGTACAAAAGGACAGCAACTAGTGAAAAAATGTGATTATGCAGGCTAAATCAAGAGAAAAGTATTGCATCTCTTTTAAAAGGAAATTATAAACTGAGTGGAGACATCCTAAACGATGAGCCACAACTGGATGTGTTGAACATGGATGTGTTTAAGGTATTTTTTAAAACATAAAGGTACAAGTATAGCCTCTTGTTTACAGACAAATTTGTGTTGTTAGCACAGCCCATCTCCCTTTTCAACCACTAGCAACAAAAATAATTTAAATTAAAATAAAGGGCACAAACAATTAACTTATGTAAACATTACAGAGGAACAAGTAGCCAGCCAGGTTCACTGGTACCCACATAGTGTAAAATGACCTACAAGAATAGCTTTAGCACGCTGGATGGATGGGGGGATCTACAGGAGAACGAAGGCCTTGGGGCTCATAGGGATCACAGATCTAGATCTGAAATAGACCCGAGAGGCCATTAAATTAAACCTCCTCATTTTACAAATGAGTAAACTATGGCAGAGAGAGGGTAAGTGACTTATCCCACAGTCACTAAGTGTCTAAGGTGGGATTTGAACTAGGTCTTCCTGACTCCAAGTCCAGCGTTTTATACATTCCACCAAGTGGCTTTTCATCTTATAGTTAAGGAAACTGATAACTAGAGAGTTGAAGTCACACTCCCAAAGGCATGTGGGTAAGAAAACACAGAGCTAGGCTTCAAAGCCAGGTCTGATTGGAAATTTCTGATCTGAAATCCAAGGCTTTTTCTGTTGCAAAAGTCTGTCTCTATATCAAATAAAGCCCAAACCTTTTAGATTGTCACTAAAGGCCTCTACCTATTAGTCTCAGTGCTTCAGTCCTAAAATTTGTATTAGTTTCCAATTGAGCATCAGTGTCAACTTGGGCAAGTCACTGAACCTACTACAAATTTCTTCATTTTAACTAGCAAACACCTGATCTCAGACACTCACTAGCTGTGTGGCATGGGCAAGGCACTTAACCCCTATCTTCTTCAATTCCACTTCTGTAAAATGCAGACATACTGGAGAAAGAAATGGTAAACCACTCCAGCATCTTTGTCACAAAATGGAACTGACGAAGACTTGTACACAACTAAATACCTAAATAAGAAATGGGAGGATGTGGGCAGGGCCTGAACAGGATGAGATGGTGTGGATAGATTGTTATCTACAGTAATAAAGAAAATGCCCACATCAAGGGGATCACAGACCCATTGATGAATTGAAATAAAAAAAAAATAGTGGGTAGAAGTATCAGGACTGGCAAAGAGGAAAGATCAGGACACAGCCCAGGAGCACAACATTTTACAGGAGAGACCTTCCCATTTTGGCAGCAAAAGAGAAAATGGGAGAAATTCCTGCATTCTGGAGAAAGGCAATGTGCAAAAGGTGGTGAGAGAAAGGAGAGGTACCAGAGCTGAGAATTTGTTACCCAATATTACAGTGAAAGTGCTACTCCCCTATAGGACTGTTGAACCTATCACAATGATGGTAGTTCTATCACACTAACAACTGTATCCAATTAGTTGATTATGAAACACCCTCCCCCCCTCTTCCACAGTAAACTGTTTCTGATTTTGTGATTAAAAAGAAAAAGACGATTGATTTTATTAAAAAATGACAGCTAGGAGGCACAGTGGATAGAACAATGGGCTTGAAATTACAAATAGTTGAGTACAAATATTACTTCAGACACTTACTTGCACAACCTAGACAAGTCACTAAACCTCTCTCATGCTGTGATAGATCTCTAAATGGGAATAACAACACCTATCTGGCGAGGATCAAAAGAGATGACACATGTAAAGTGCTTTGCAAAATTTAAAGAATTAGGTAAATGCTAACTATTATTACTATTAAATGATTTTACAGACAACTTTGCTATTCCAAAAATTTAGGTGCATCTGTATTCCCTTTGAGAAAATTATTGTCATGACTGTGTTTCATATATTTAGCTAAAAATGAAGAGCAATAACATTAGCATACTTTAATATTTTATTATAGGAATTCATTAAAGTTGATCAGATATGATATGTATCTTATACAAAGTTCTGGGGTTAATTTTTCATTAAAGCAGTCGAGAGTCTTCTACCAAGCCTGTTAAATGACTACTCAAGTCCTCTGACCAGCTGAATACTCTAAGGACTCATTATGGCCTGTTCACTCATAATTCTCTTTTTCAGAAAACTTGTAATTTTGATGGCCTTAGGGTTTTTTGACAGTCCCAAACTCAAGTAATTAGCTCCATCTAAATTTCCTTTCAGCAGCTCTGATTTTAGGAGCTGCAGAAGAATATTTGCCGTTCTCAGCAGATTGTAAGCATTCGGCCTTTGGCCTCCAACTTTGAAACACACCTAACCTGTGGAGCTGAGTAATATAATTACACACTCTGCTATGAATTACTGCTTAGGTAATACACTTCATCAAAACTGGCCAAGAGAACATACTGCTGGCAGCAGAGAAGGATGGATTCAAGGGCTCCCTCCCCCCCCGCCCCAGTTTTCTTTTACTGTTTAATGGAGTAAATTGTCCATGTTGGCTTTCTTCAGACACTTGAGTCTGGGCTAGTTAACTCAAGATGATTGGGGCATGGTATTAATGGGAGCCAAGACAATAGATTGGGTCTCTTTATGAGTCAGTTACTTTTTCACATGGAAAAACACCTCCATTAATAATTACAAACCATACTAGACTAGGTGATTATGTGGGTTCTAGTAACTAATTTGCCACTAAATAACTGTGAGACCTTGGTTGGAGTCATTTTTTCTTCTCTGTAATATGAGGGAGCTGAACTTGAGATCTTCTAAGGTCAATAATCCCTAAGCTACAGTTTCAAGATGGTGTTACTACAAATAATTGATGGAATGCGTATGTTGAACTTTATTTTTTTGGCAATGGTGATGGAATGTAGTGAATCATCCATTTGCTCTTGCCTAGTTTTTGTGAATCAATCATATTCCATGATTCCATGATCTTGCTAACGTCATTGTAGTTCACAAGAGCCAGGTGAAAACATAAATGATCAATTTTTTTTGATGAGGCAATTGGGGTTAAGTGACTTGCCCAGGGTCACACAGCTAGTAAGTGTCAAGTGTCTGAGGTCAGATTTGAACTCAGGTCCTCCTGACTTCAAGGCTGGAGCTCTATCTACTGCGCCACCTACCTGCCCCCAATAAATGGTCAACTCTTAAGGATTACTATCATCATTACTAGAAAAACAACACAAAGTACACTTTCCATGATGTTAACTTAGTAACATAATGTCAGAATCATATTATTTTTGAAATAAAAGAGAACTTCAAGATAATTTTGCCTAATTCCTTTGTTTCACAGATGGCCTGTGTTAAAGTCCAGAGAAGTTACATCACTTGCCCAAGGTGACAAAAGCAAGTTAACGGCAACATCAGGCTGCTAACTTCTGAATCCATACTTTTCATTACTCCCTACTATCTGTACATATGTCTTCACAAATACACATGCTTAAGATCTAAGAGTGCAGCTAGGTGGCACAATGAATAGAGCTGGAACTGGAGTCAGGAAGACTCATTTTCCTGGGATCAAATCAGGCCTCAGACACTTCCGAGCTGTGTGACCTGTGAAAGTCACTTAATCCTGTTTGCTTGTTTCCTCATCTGTAAAATGAGCTGGAGGATGAAATGGCAAACCACTCCAGTATTTCTGACAAGAAAATCCCAAATTTGAGCAACAAAAAAGATCTAAGAACCTCACATTTCATAAGAGGCAAGATGTTGATCAAGACCCAGAATAGAAATAACTCCTTACTATAAGATCCATTCAAAAGACATGAATTATAATAGCTGAACTAGAGTAGACTATAGTAGAGTCAAGAAGGGGGGTAGAAGAAAAGAAGGACAACAGAAAAAACATATATTATTAATTTTGTGAGTCTCATGAAATTTCACCTATAATAAGAAAAAGAAGGAAAAAACACGTTTTATCTATTTTATAAAACACAGAACTATTTCTTTATATAAAGTGCTGCTTGTCCTGTGCCACAAAAACGTTTAGGATTTTTTTTAAATAGCAAAATTATGTATTTATTTGAGCTCAATCACATACCTCTTTGTGGGTTCCAAGATCAATGTATCCACATATTGGGTGAAAGGCTCCAGTCCCACACACATAAACATGAGTTCTGTTATAAGCCTGAAGCACTCTGATGAAATTTGCACATTCTGTCTATTGAGCATAAGAAAAAAAAAAGAATTAACACAAAAACATACAATGAGAAATGTCCTTCATACCACTTGTCCTCAAGATACTATTCTTTGGATAAACTTATTTTTTATCTAATATATTTACGAAAAGTGAAGAAATATTTGTGTTTAACAGTATCTGTAATCATCCTATCACATTTAAACTCACAAAAGGTACAAAATTATTTAGAGTTAACATAGGAAATAAGTATGTAGAAAATTGTTTATATAAATTTTAACTGATAGACCATAATAATTGAAGAAAAGCTACCATGATAGATTAATAAAAAAAAATTTGGTTGATTGTGAAATCCCACTTAAGTGAGGCACAGAAGCCTAGAGGGTGAGGCATGGTGGCAAAATAGATACTTTGCCAATGTAAATGGACAAAACGAAAACAAAGAAAAAATAAAATCGCATATTTTGAACAGCTAAGTGAGCTAGACAGTCTTTACAGATGTAGAAATCATTCCAATTAAATTACTTGCTCAGAGTCAGAAATCAGGTCTGGGTCAGAAATAGGACTAACCAAGACCTCCAGCCTTTAAAGCTTTCTATTATGAATTTTTCCTCCTATGATAGCATATTTTTAATTTTATAATTCAATTATAATTTATAATTAATTTTGTAATTTATAATTATAATTTTACAATTTATATTTTATAATGATAATAATTTTATACTTTTATATTCAATTTATAATTCAAAGGGGAAACAAGATTAACTTTGAAATGTAAGGAAATTATACACTGGGGTTGTGTCTTTGGAACTTTCTTCTTTTATGCAAATGTTTGAATTTTATGTCATAGTGTTCTAATCTCTAGGAGGATACAGTTACCTATATTTGCTTTCAAGAAAGTATGTTCAGTTGTGCCTTGCACAGGTGTCTGATTTAATAAATGTTGTCAATTGATTGAAGAAATTCCTAGAAAGGAAGACAATCCAGCCTGGATTCAGCCTATGCTTCCAACACTTTCTCCTGCTACCTCATAACATGAGCCTTCCTCTCCGTCCTGTCTAGAGTATTCACTGTCTCCTACACTAGTGGTTCTTTGGGTGGTTCAGGGACCCTTGGCACCCTTTCAGTAGGTCTGCAAGGTCAAAACTATTTTTATGATAACAGTATGGCATTTTCATTTCTAATACAGTACATATTGATACTGCATTAACCCACAAAAACAAAAATTTGATGAAAGATGGAGGTCCTCATTAATTTTTAAGTGTGTAAAAAGAGTCCCAACACCAAAAAGTTTAACTGTTGTCCTTAACCAAAAAAACAAAAACAAACAAACAAAAAAAAAAAACAGTGCTCATGGCTCCCTCTGCCCCTTTGCTTATGTTGTCCATTCTTTGAAAAAATGTCTTACTCTTCCCCTCTCTTTAATACAACATTACTTGTCTCCTGAGGCCCCTGCTTGAGTCTCAGCTCTTCTATGAGATCCTTCCTGACCACTGACTGACTTCACTCTCTCCCTCTTGTAAGGTTTACTGCCTTTGTGTATTTTATGTATATGGCATATTTTGTGAGTCTCATGAAATTTCACCTGTCATAAGAAAAAGAAGGAAAAAACACATGTTTTATCTATTTTATAAACTATAAAACTATTTCTTTATATAAAGTGCTGCCTGTTCTGTGCCACAAAAACATTTAGTAAGTTTTTTAAATAGCAAAATTATATATTTCTTTGAGCCCAATCATATACACACACATGCACTTTTATGTATATGGCATATAGACTCTTAAGAGGCAGAAAAGATCTCAGAATTCATCTATACCAGCTTCCATATTTTACTTATAATACTCAGAGACTTTAAGTGACTCACTCAAGGTCACACGTATAATAAGAGGCAATGACAACAACATTAGAAACAAATAAAACTTAATCTTAAAATCAAAAGACTGAAGTTTGGTTTCCATATTGGAGACACCTTGGTTTGAATCTTACTTGTTAATTTTGTGGTACTGTTCAGGTTATTTACCTTCTCTCAGTTTCAGTTTCCTCATGTGTAAAACTGGGTTAATAATAGCACCTACTTCAGAGGATTGTTGTGAGGATAAAATAAAATAATATATGTAACCCTAAAGCCCTTAGCCTCAATTCTTTGGGACACTCTATATAAATGTCATCTATTATTATAAGTCATCAATTAGTTTTACGACCCTGGACAAGTCTTTTTTTTGGTCTCAGTTTTCTCATCTGTTAAATGGGCATAGAAATGTTTAGGGGAATGTTGTGGAAAAAAAAGTCTTTGTAAAGCTTTAAACAAAATGGATTTTAATTCCTGGCAAAATTTGGACTAGAACCAAACTGCCTGTCTCCCGGTGTAATCTTTGTTTCCCCACAGGGTATTTTCTCCATAGAGAAAGAGACATATAGAAAGAGGGCAGTTAGATGGTACAACAATGGATAGAGCACCAGCCCTGGAGTCAGGAAGACCTGAGTTCAAATCAAGCCACAGACACTTACTAGCTACGTTACCCTGGGCAAGTCATTTCATCCTGTTTGCCTCAGTTTCCTCATCTGCAAAATGAGCTGGAGAAGGGAATGGCAAACCACTCCAGTATCTCTGCAAAGAAAATCTCACACGGGGGTATGGGAAAGTCAGACACAATTGAAAATAACTGAAAGATGATTATAGAGAAAGGCAGCACAGATCAGTTGGAAAAGGTTGATGTTTACCACCTGTGTGCCCTTGTACAAGTTAACCTCCCTGGACTTGAGTTTCCTCATCTGTAAAAAGAGCTAGCTGAATTAGGTGGTCTCTGAGATTGCTTCCAGTCAGGGATCTTTGACCCTAAGAATTTAGGCCAGATATTAACCTTCCTAAAATTATTATTAAATCTTTTACATGTATATTTCTTATTTCTCAAACTAGACTTTAACTTCTTTGGCAGCTTACTCTTTGTATTCCCAGTGGAGTTCTACATCATATGACCATTCCTAATAGATATTTGTTGAATGAAAGAACAAATGAGCTATAAGGTTTGACAATCTCTTTTTTAAATCCAGTTTCCAAACTTCTTGAATATCTGGAGAATCTAATTAAATTGTTAAAGGCTGTTCTTCAGTCTGTGTTTTTTTTTCTATCCCATTGTATCTATACGTGTTTCTTTACATGCTCATTATCTTAAAAATTCATCCTTTTCTACTTTTCCTATTACCAAGAATTGCTACCTCTTTGCTTTTCAGAAGATCCTTTTTATTAATTATAACCCTTTCTACTTCAAGTCACTGTCACTGGTAGAAGCAACAGCTTACCCCCCAAGACTGGGGTCTGCTGGGTTTCTTGCTTTCCAAAGTGACTGTCTACAAGTGACTGGTCGGTATCGCAGTTTCTCAGTACCCTTTCTGTCTGTAATATCCTAAAGACACTGTTGCCTGATATAAATGAATATCTTTTGTCTGTCATTGTGTCCATCTTGATCCTAACTTATTCATTTTACAAATGAGGAAACTGAGGCTTAGGTTAAATTGGCCAGCTGATTAGCATCAGAATCAGAATTTGAGTCCCAGTCTTCCTGACCCTAAGTCCAGAGCTCTAGCTACTATGCCAAAACATTCATGAATGATATCATGTGTATGAATGAACACAAGATAGTAGTGAAACATCATGGCATTTTTTCATTCAGTAGGGAGACAGGACCGGTGAACCATTGAAGTGATAGCGTATGTGTGTCTTTGTGTTGGTTACAAAAAGAATATGACTCATGTTCAGCCATTCTATTCAGAAAATAAATGATAAGATAAATATGAGATAAATGATTTGTCTTTCTCATCTGATAGATGGGCCAGTATATCTTTTATTAAAGACATTACATTAAAGACTGTGTTCATTTCCCCTCCTCCAGTTTGGAAATAACAATTCTACCCCATTTCTTTAGTTCCCTTGATATTCTGGACCTTTCATTCTTCCAAATGAATCTTGTTATTATTTTTTCTAACTCTATAAAATCAATTTTTGGTAGTTTGATTGGTATGGCACTGAATAAGTAAATTAGCTTAGGTAGAATTGTTATTTTTATTATATTAGCTCGGCCTACCCATGAGCAACTGATGTTTTTCCAATTATTTACATCTGACTTTATTTGCATGAAAAGTGTTTTGTAATTGTGTTCATAGAGTTCCTGGGTTTGTTTCAGGAGGTAGACTCCTAAATATTTTATAATGCCTACAGTAAGTTTAAATGGAATTTCTCTTTCTATCTCTTATCGTTGGGCTTAGAGGCAATATATAGAAATGCTGATGATTTATGTGGGTTTATTTTATAGCCTACAACTTTGCTAAAGTTGTTTATTATTTCAAGTAGTTTTTTCCTTGATTCTCTAGGATTCTCTAAGTATAACATCATGTCATCTGCAAAGAGTGATAGCTTTGTTTCTTCTTTGCCTATTCTAATACCTTCAATTTCTTTTTCTTCTCTTATTGTTAAAGCTAACGTTTCCAGTACGATATTGAATAACAGTGGTGATAATTGACATCCTTGTTTCACCCCTGATCTTATTGGAAATGCTTCTAGCTTGTCCCCATTACATATTAAGCTTGCTGAAGGTTTTAGATAAATGCTACTTATTATTTTAAGGAAGACTCCATTTATACCTATGCTCTCTAGTGTTTTTTAATAGGAATAGGTGTAGTATTTTTGTCAAAAGCCTTTTCTGCATCTATTGAGATGATCATGTGGTTTCTGTTAGTTTTGGTGTTGATATGATGAATTATGCTGATAGTTTTCCTAATATTGAACCAGCCTTGCATTTCTGGTATAAACCCTACCTGGTCATAGTGTATTATTCTTGTGATAAGCTGCTGTAATCTATTTGCTAATATTTTGTTTAAATTTTTTCATCTATATTCATTAGAGAAATTGGTCTATAATTTTCTTTCTCTGTTTTGACTCTTCCTGGTTTAGGTATCATCACCCAGGAAGGACATTTTTAAGAGAGGTTTGAACAGATTTGATTAGATTTTGTCTCTTCCTAACTACCACTTCTTCTCCTTCTCCTTCACCTCTTTCTCCTCTTCTTCCTCCTCCTCCTCTTCCTCCTACTCCTTCTTCCTTGTGAAGAACATACCATTTTTTCAGTTTACAAAGTATTTTCTACATAGCAGTTTTTTGGGGAAATGCAAATTGCATTCGATCTGTTATTTAGTTCGATTCTATGTGAAATGTTATTATGAAAATTATTTCATTTAATTTAGTAAAATACTTACAAAATTATATAGTTGTATATTTGCAGTGAAACATACCTAAATTCAATTTACTTATACAATGTTTTTATAGTTGTTTAGAACCTAATTTATGTTCATTTGTTATTCATTTGTAATTTCTAGGCTTGCTAATTTTAACTTAATTAACTCCAAACCTGGCTTGGTCCTTGATTCTTATCTTCTCTTACTTTCCCTTACCCACAATCCTGAAAGTTTTGAAGACACTAAGCAATGAGATCTATAGTCAAGAGCAAAAATAAAATAAAGATAAAAAAATCTACCAATTTCTCAAGTACTCTGCTTCTGTATGAACCTAACATCATCCAGTTACTTGGGTACAGATTAATCAATGGCAGCTAATTTCAACAGTTTTTTTTCTTTTGAGGCTTAACTTTATCAAATGGATGTAATAATTGGGGAATAATTATAGCTGAAATAAGTAATAGAAACAAAATTTAGGGAGAAATAGATCATATTGATAAAGAAATCCAGGGGCAGCTAGGTGGTGCAGTGCATAGAGCACTGGCCCTGTAGTCAGGAGGACCTGAGTTTAAATCTGGTCTCAGACCAGACACTTGACACTTACTAGCTGTGTGACCCTGGGCAAGTCACTTACACCCAATTGCCTCACAAAAAAAGAAAAGAAAAAAAAGAAATCCGTAACAATGTTTTTATTTTTGATCTTAGATTTAGGGCTGGAAGGAACTTTAGAGGTCATGTAGCCCCAAACCCTCACTTTACATATGAGGATATAGAAGCCTAGTTAGGAAAAGTGACTAGCATGTTTAGAATTCAGAAGATTAGGGAACAAGAAATGCTATGTATGTGTAGGAGGGAGGGAAGGGAAGGAATTAAGGGGAGTATATATGGGGAAATACTGGTGTTTAAAAAAAGTATTAATAAAATGAATTTTAAAAATAATGAGAGCATCTATTATAGAGCTTTAAGGATTATAAAACATTGATGACAATGTTTTGATTACAAGCATTATAACTGATTACAAAGATTACAAAATATTGATCCTCACAACAATATTGTGAGATGGGTGCAATTATTATCACGATTTTACAGTGATTATAGGGATACTTGTCTAGAAAACTTTTATGAAGAGCTCACATAGGGCAAGCGCTCATATGGTGATCAGAAGAAGCAATACAAGGACACTCTCAGGGTCTCTCTTAAGATCTTTGGAATTTACTGTGTAGCATGGGAGACACTGGCACATGACCACTCAGCATGGCATACCCTCATCAGAGAGGGTGTTGTGCTCTATGAGCAAAGCAGAATTGAAGTAGCTCAAAAGAAACATGAGATGTACAAATTTAGAGAATGCACCCCAAATGTTCACATGAACTATTTGTGCCTGACCAACCAACCAACCAAAGTTTCATGAAATCCTTTGGTGAAAACAACTCTTCACTTGTTGGATAGCCTTCTGGTAACAAGCTTCTCCAAATTTTACTAGCTTCCAATGAACAGAAGAATGCTGTATTTCATTATTTGGGTTCAAATCCTAGCTCTGCTATTAAATAATTATGTGACCTAAAAATAGGCATAATTGTGGGTTTCTAGGCCTCAGTTTCCTCATCTGTAACGTGAAGGGGAGTCTGGACTGGCCTTGAAGTTCCCTTTCAGCTCTAAATCTATGATTAATCCTACATTCCAAGCCTTTCTTCATCCCTATAACCTCTCAGAAGACAGGGTTACTACTATGATAAATAGGACTTTAGTAGATACTGAAGTTAGCATAACAAATGCAACATTTTACAGAGGCAGCTAGATGACTCAGTGGATAGAATGCTGGGCCTGGAGCCTGGAAGATCTGAGTTCAAATATGGCCTCAGACACTTACTAGCTGAGTGACCCAGGCAAGTCACTTAACTCTGTTTGCCTTAGTTTCTCATCTGTAAAAATAAGCTGGAGAAGGAAATGTCAAATCATTCCAGTATCTTCATCAAGAAAACCCCATGGGGTCAAGAAGAGTCTGACATGACTCAAGAACACCACCAAATTTATTCAAAACCATACTGTTCTCTTAAATAGGTTAAATATTCTCTTGGGAGACAAGACATTAAACTAATTTGGCTTTTAGCTAGCTAGAATAGCACATAGAGTGCTATTCTTGGAGTCAGAAAGAAGTGTATTTGAATCCTTCCTCAGATACTTAACCTGGTAGTTTTAGTTTCTTCTTTTGTAAAATGTGGATGATAATAATAGACACTACTTCAAAGCATTGTTGTGAAGATCAGATGATGTAATATATGTAAAGGACTTTGTAAACATTAAAGTGATATATAAATGTTCATTATTATTATCTAGAAAGTGAAAGTAGTAACACTTTACCCACTTAAAGGCAGGCTGGAAGCTGGACCAGATAATCTCCTTTAGGTTAAAGTCTTCAGAATGTAAGAGCTATGATTTTCTTTATTTTGAAATTTAAGAATTTGCTTCATATTGTGTATTTATTATTTCATTAAAATTTTCAACCCAAGGCTAGATATTCACAAAATGCTAATCTTTAGTGATAAAATTAACTAATTCAGCTCATGGTGGATAGCACATGGACTTTGAATTAGTTAGCCTTGTCTCAGACATTTACTATCTGTGAGATCCTGGGTAAATCATTTAATCTCAGTTTCATCATATGTAAAATGAGAGGGTTGGACTCAATGTCAAAGCATTCAAATCCCTTCCAATTTGAAACCTATGATCCTATGAATTATGATCCTAAAATAAGAACAAAGAACAATGCAAGGGAACATCTTTTATGCTATTTATGAATATTATTGTTAAATTTCCAGGAATTTTCTTAGAATAATTTTTTTTTTTTGACAAGACAGAAACAACTTATAAACAATCTTTTAGAAGCATAGCAATACATATAAGCGTGGTCTTATCAAGACAGGTATGGAAATTACTGTCCAATATACTTCAAATCAAATACCAAAAAAAAAATGTATATATATATATATTTATATATAAAATATATATACTCACATGAGGATCTTTTCCAGCTAATTTACATAATTCCACCCTTTCCTTTGCTGCAGGCCAATAAATCTGTAAAATATTTGAAGATGTGTTAGAAGCAGAAATTTTCAAATATTAATCTATTTGATTTGGGTGAATAACCAATTGATGTTGATATATCATCCAATATCTGAATCAATTTTTAATTTGATCATCATCCTTAGTATTGTTTCCAGAAGCAAAGTAGTTCTACCATATCTTCATCTGTTCACTGTTTAAATTTCTCTAATAATATTTAATAATGAACAAATGTTTATAATGCTGCACATTACCTTAGGATAAAAGAAGGGCCTTAGAGTTTTGTATAGATCTGATGGGGAGGAAGAAAGAGAATACTTTTATCTGTTTTTTCAAAGTTTATGCAGAAAGAGAATGTGAGTTATACACACAATGACAGTTCTCACACATATATACAAACAAAAAAAATCAACAGGGACAAAAAGCTTATATGGAAAAGATAAATAATTTCTTCAGTCAATAGACTAGTATATGGTACTTGCTATTTAGCAAATTATTACAGGCAAAGATTCTAAGCTTTTGATGAGTTCATAGCCTGCTTTCATTTAATCTTCACGGTCTTGAGATTATCCAAAAGTTTTTTTTTTATTCTGTCAGTGTTCAGACACACTGTAAAGCAGCTTTTTTAAAAATGAGGTACTCTCAGACAATGAGATTACTTCATTAGGTTTCAAAGCAATGGTCACTGTTGGGATACAAGTAAGAAGAAACTAGAAAATAAAGCTTTGGGTTGTATGGTTATATGTCTGTACCCTATATTTGAATTTCTGACTTATTTTTGGTCTATCTCTCTCAGCAGGGTTAGCAGCAACTAATTCTCAGTCAAATTACTTCATTAGGTTTCAAAGGATTGATCACTGCTGGCATACAAGCAAGAAGAAACCAGAAAAAGAAAGCTTTGGGTTATATGTCTGTACCATACATGCTAGTTTCTGCCTTATTTTTGGTCTATGTCTCTCAGCAGAGTTAGCAGCAAATAATTCTCTCCATGAGAAAAAAGAAATAATATCCAGAGGAAATATTCTAAAGGAAAATTTAAAAGCCTGGAGTTAAAAATGATTTACATGTTGTCTTAGTTTATGTCATTATCCCACTAGTGGGATTATAGCTTTTTAACATTTCACAAACAGAAGAGTTAAAAATAGTTCTATAGGACTCAAGGTTATTCCCTACATCAGCTAATTGGTATGAAATCATTTTCCAAAGAAAATTTTAGTTGAATTAAAGGCACTAATTTATAACACATTTTTGCAACCCATAAGGTTACAATCACAGTCATCGTGGTTGAATTAGCAGTATGCTCAAGAGATGAGCTAACCTCAAAATGTGCATGCATAAATACCTAAAAATTATCATATTAATCCAGATCTTGCCTCCTCGTTGCATCTGGCAGTATTAAGATGATAATATTGTAGAAAAATGAGCTCCTTCTCCCTTATCTCTACACACTTGCCCCAGTTTTTCTTGCTGTTTTTAATTAGTATATTGGCTTGATAGTTTTTAAACCCCTTTTAATATTATCTTACATTTAAAGAACATCTCTTTCCCCCAGGACCTCAAATTGTTTCACATATCTCTCTTTTATTCCAATCTATTTACTAAAGACAAGTACTAATCCCAAACAGACAGAAAAATAATTGAAACTAAGTATACAAATATTTCACTGATTTTACTTCCAAGACTATCCAATTAGTTCAACTCAGTCCAACAGATTACTGTATCTAGTCACTATTTCAACATTCTAGGTTGTAAGTTTGGTCCTAATCTAAAACAGAGAAAGCAAATACATTTCAGAAACAGGTTTAGATAGGAATCTTCATTTTTATTTTCTGTGGTGAATTTCTTGTTTCTATTAATAGAACAAAAATGTTCATGTTAGGGGTGGGGTGGGAATAGGCAATATCTAGAATGAAGATAGAACTTGTACCAGCAGTTCAAGTTAAAGGTTAAATGAAAACTGGCCTTAATGTCTTGGATGGTTGGCAAGTGTTAAGTATAATCACTATAATAGAAAATGTCTCCCCAGAGGAGGCCACAATGGTATTTAAGCTAGTCCTTCTATGAGGAGAGACTTTTTTTTAAATTAAAAAAAAATTAATAGAAAAACTATCAAGCTTCTTAAAATAGTTTGTAAGTCTAACATTAGAGTTTCAAGTCCGGCCCAAAAGTGACTAGATAATCTCTTAGGTCCCTTTTAGCTTTAAATCTATGATCCCATGATTCTAAGATCAAGTTCCTACAAAGAGTTCCCCAGGAAACGCTGCAATAACAAAACCAGGGCCCATATTTGCTTCTCTCCCCATTAGCCATCATACTAGTTATTAATGTGGTACACAATTTACTTCTACTTGCCCTTATAATTTCCCAAAAAAATAAGAAATGAGGATTCACACCAAAATATACAAATATTTAGTAGCTGGTTGAGAAATGAATTTAGTGATATTTTTTGTAAGTCCTATGACAAATCATTCACTCATCCTAGTGGCAGAAGCCTCTCCCAATCCTAACCATTGCAAAATACTCATAAAATTACAAGACTTTTATTTAAGAAATCGCCATGTGTTCAGAGGAAAACAGTGATGAAGGGAGTAATGCAACAAATTAACAGAGTGAATACTTAAAATAACCAAAGAGCTAATTAAAGAGTGATTAAATACTTTTTCTCCTCCTGCTGTATACTATGCATCATATTTTTCAGAATGCTCCATCCTTGGTCAGATTCTGCATATTTAATTAAAGGTTTCATATTATCAAGGCATAGTACAGTATATGATTGGAATGAAAGACCTCTCCCCCTCTGCCCCCTAACTATGAGTTTCATGGGGCTAGGGTTATGTCTCACTCAATCCTTGTATTTCCCAAAATGCCTAGCATAGTTTTCTACACATAGGCACATAGTAAATACTTATGCAAACCTAAGTTATCAATAAAAATTAAGTATTTTCTCAGAAAAGTTGTCCCCACTTCTTGTTCTGGGAACTAATGTTACTTCAATAAACCATCACCATTTTTGTTTGTTTATTTTAAAAGAAGTAAAAATGACTTGGAACTTGAAGACAAGGATTTACTAAGATTACATAACTGGCTTTACTTGACAATATTATCAAATATTTTTAGGATAAAAAACTGACTTATCTTAAGACTCACAATATAGAAAATACTTAATTATCTTTCCAGGCTGAAAATATTTACTTTGTTTCATGAGTTGTCATGGTCAAGGAATTTATTACAAGTGACCAGCACACATTGGTCCTCAGCTTTTCAGTAATAAGCTAGGCTAGCCCTCAGAGAGTTGGCTTAGATCTTTTTCCAGCAAGCTTAATGGAACCTTGTAGGCCTTGTGCTCTCTTGGCAGAGTCTCGGACACCCTAGAATCCTTTCCACACCATGATGAAGCATCAGAGTAGGATTTTGTGGAGAAAGGGGAAAAGAATGATTGTACTAGGGCCAAAAATGAAAAGAAAGACATTACTGATACAAGGATTTGTGGCTGTCACTCAATTATTAGCATGTGATTCCTAGTTTTTCCACCCTGGTGGTAAGTAAAGCAGCTAAGGAAAAGGAATCCACTTAGATAAGCCTAAAGAAGAAGAAAACAAAATACGCCTATGCTCCCACAATGATTTTTCTTTTCTACAAGGAATGCTCTGTGTGCGCGTGCGTGCGTGTGTGTGTGTGTGTGTGTGTGTGTGTGTGAGGGTGGGGAGGGAAGGAATTTAGGGGAATATATAAAGGGAAATAACTGTTTAAAAAAGTATTAAAAATGAATTTTAAAAATAATGATAGCACTAATTATACAACTGTAAGAATTACAAAACACATTAGAAATATTGATCCTCACAACAATCTTGTAAGATGTGCACAATTATTATCACTATTTTACAGATGAGGAAACTGAGGAAATCAGAGGTTAAGCAACTTGCCCAAGTTTACATAGCTGTCTGAGGTTAGTTTCACCTTGAGGGAATAGGAGGTTCTTCTGACTATACCTGGGGGAAATGTGATAAAAAAGTGAAGTGTCAGGAGGAGAAAGAACAGAAGAAAATAAAGCTTAGGAAGAAAACAAGGAAGGGTTAGGTCCTAGAAGCCCTTATGCTATTATAGTTACATGCCTTGCCTTTAAGTACCTTTAGCATACTTGAGAGTATATTTGATAGGGAAGAGACCAAGAAAGTGATAGAAAAATCACACTTTATACATAACATTATACGTACTATTATATTGCTATTTATATTTACTATTATATTACTATTATAGTATTACATTATGTCATATTATAATGGCATAAAATGATTCCTAATAACAGATACAATAAATTTATTATAATTATATTATTATATATTATCACTTCTAATATATAATGATTATATATTATTTAATATTACATATAAGAAATATATTTGTAACATGATAAAGTATTATAAATACATTATCGTATTTGTTATTATATTCCTTATATTTACTAGAGTTCTTTTTTTCTGAAAACAATCAGCAAATTTGTAAGCATTTGCTGTCACAATTGAACCTAGCAATTTTAAACTATTTTACACTTATTTTACTTTTCTTTCCCATAAGGGAATGGTCTAGTTTGTTGAGATATGAGTGCATTCCAAGCATAAGGGACAGCCAGGGCAAAGGACTGAAGATGGGAATATTATGTGTGAGGAATAACAGTAGGGCCGGTTTGAGTGAATAAAGGAGGGTAATGCATAATAAAAGCTAGAAATGTAGGTAGGAGTGAAGTTGCAAAGGGTTTTAAAAATTCCAGAGAAGGCTAAAGCTAATTTTCAAGGCAAGGCAATGGCTGAAGTTCAGTGAGCAAAGGGAGTGGCATGGTCAAAAGTGTGTTTTAGGAAAAAAATCACTTTGGCAGCTGAATTGAATATGGAGAAAATTAAGGTAGAGAAACTTTATGCAAGGAGACCAGTTTAGGGAAGCTATTGTTATATGGACTTATAATAATGACTGAAAACATGGAAGTCCTTTTATTTGACTAGCAGACTTGTTCTTGG